GAAAAATGGCTGTGTAAAATCTGGCATATGAAGGACAGGAGCTTTGCACATTGCTGCATTTAAGTCCTGAAATGCTTGCTCAGCAGCACTGGACCAAGTGAAAGATTTTCTCTTTTTCAAGGAGTCGGTAAGCGGAGAAGTTATTGATGCATAATTCTCGATGAACTTACTTTACCACCCTGTCATGCCCAAGAATCGGCGAAGTTGTTTTAAAGACTGTGGTGAAGGGTACTCTTTGATGGCTTCTATTTTAACCACGTCCATGGCTATAGTCCCATGACCGACAATGTGTCCCAAATAATGAACTTCAGGTACACAGAGCCTACTTTTTTGAAGATTTATAGTGAGGCCTGCTTTTTCCAAAGCCTCAGCAATCTCGTCCAGCACCTTCGTGTGCCGTTCAAAAGTATCGGAAATGATGAGAAGGTCGTCTAGATAAATGAAGACTTAATTTCTTAGATAAGCTGGTATTATACAATCCATTAATTTCGACATAGTTGATGGGGCATTCGTCAAGCCGAAAGGCATGACTTTAAATTGATATAAAGGTCTACCGGGTACAGTAAAGGCGGTTTTATCTTTCGAACGAGAGTCAAGTGGTATTTGCCAATAGGCATCTTTGAGATCAAGACTGGTGATGTACTCAGCCTTCGGAATATTGGATAAGCATCCTTTCGTGTCACATTGACTTTACACACACTTTAGAGTCAATGCAGAGGCGCACTTTTCCGGGTTTTCTCACGATCACAACAGGCGAAGACCAAGAACTATCGGATTCTTCAATGACTCCAAGGCTGAACATACGATCTATTTCCTCATACATGAGTTTTTCGCTCGCAGGGGAAACCGGATAGTGGCGCTGCTTAATCGGTTTCGCATCACCTACATCAATCTCGTGGTTCAACAACTTTGTTTTACCCAGACCCTTTTCAGCAAACGATGGAAATGATTGAACGACTTTTTCAATTGAATACGTTGTGTATCCGACAACTTACGTTGCGACACAACATCGGCGGACTTTAACTCGTGACCTGTTAGACTGGAAATACCGTCTTGGACTGACAAACCCGAAGGTAACATATCAAATGCGATCCAAAAATCAATGCCTAAATACAACGACTGAACAAGTGAAGGGACAATATATAAAGTGAAGCGCTTTGTTGTTCCTCGATAAGTGACTTCTAAAGAAAGTTTTCCAACAATACTTTGATACTGGCCATCCGCCGTGCGTACATTGGCTGACATTTTTTTGAAATTGATATCTATGCTTAATATTTCTCTGGCAAAATCTCATCCGATGCAACTAATGGATGCCCCAGTATCCAATAATCCTGTCATCGTTTTGTCGAGTATAGAAACTTCGGCATATGGACGTACGTCGCGACCTACTATGGCAGATATTAAGGCCTGGTTTTCATGCTTAATTCTCTTGTAACACTTATTAATTCGTGAACTAGATCTCCTGTTCACAGCTGGTAAGGAATGCGAAAGTTTTGGTACTGGCAGGTAAGTAGTCATATCCGGGAAAGTTGATTTTGTAGATTGAGTGGACTCTACAAATCCGTCTGAGTCGTGTTTGATGTAAGCTTCTTCCGTGCACTTGCCACTGGTGCACGATCTAATCCGTTTTTTGCTCCATTACATTTCGCGCAAGAAGGTTTGTAACTATTAGGCTGACCACAACCGTAACAAAACACCTGACGTTCGCTAAGACAATCTTGGTATCGATGACCCTTTGCTCGACAGTTCCAGCATACCAAATTTATTGCTGCTACCTCAAGATTATCGTCATCCTCACTGGAATCCTCGTTGCCATCAGAATGTCTTTCTACAGCATGAATTACACGACGTACGGGGGGTGTTGGCCTTTGGGACATAGCTTTATTCTTTGCCAAACCCTTCATGAATACTTCCCTAGTTCTAACTAAGTGACGTAGGTGTGCTGTGCTAGTCACTTTCTCATACAGAAGTTCATGTTTGAGGCTGCAAATTAGCCCGTAATGTTTCCAATAATGCCAAGTCCGACAAGGGCACCGCTAGTTTATCAGCTAATAGAACGATCGCCTCATAGAATTCATCAAAAGATTCATTTTCCTTCTGCTTAAGTCTATCCATGGCTGAACGAATGTTAATATCAGTTAATTCATCTTTGAAATGCGCCCTCATAGCGGCACGCAAATCTAACCACGAAAGTGAACCCTGTCTTGAATGTACGCTTTTATGATATCGCCAAAACCAATCATTAGCACTTTCGTCTAATATATTGCTTATATGACGAGATATAATATCAAAATTACCATTGTTCGCGCCAGAGCGGCGCTTTCCAGTCCCTTTTGAACCGCCCCTGGAGTCTTAACAGTCGTGAGAGCAGTTCTTCCAGATCGCTTGCATCTCGCTCTCTGGCACTGTTAAGGGTCTCCAATCCGCTCTCCAAGCGGCTCTAAAAGTTTCCACCCCGTAGCTTAAGTTTTAGTTCTAATTTCCAAGTGTCACCGTGAAGTCGAATAAAGAGTGAAGTTTTGTTTTATAACGTGAAGTAAATTCGACCCGCGTTCTTCATTTTTGTGGTAATTTTGGACTTATTCTCGAGAGCTGAAGGAAGTCCCGCCGCCCCAATCAACATTTGATCCATCGACCGGATTATTTACAACAAATACCAGCGACCACCGGCGGAGTTTTTTAAAGTTCAAGATAAGTACGAATTTTCCATATTTCCGTGGCCGACCAGTCAGATATTTCCCAAGATCCCAATTTTCTTATATCTGTCTGATCGGCTAATTCCATTTGTGCATACGATCGCCATATTCCGGCTTCTTTTTTCGTATTGCTATTTCCACCTTCATACGATCGCCATATTCCGGCTTCCTTTTTCGTATTGCTATTTCCACCTTTATACGATCGCCATATTCCGGCTTCTTTTTTCGTATTGCTATTTCCACCTTTATACGATCGCCATATTCCGGCTTCTTTTTTCGTATTGCCATTTTCCGGCTTTACTCTCTTTATATTTCCCCATTTACATACATACATAAATACATAAAATCCAGATGCATGCATATTGATGTACGTACATATGCCTGACCATCTCAACATATGTACATACGTAAGGAGAAACATTTACACACTACAATTCGCGGCGTACCCAGCAAACATTTTGAAAGTACATTCCTAAAATACAGTCCACATTATATACAATTTCCAAAATTACAGCAGATTACAAAGGATAAAGTCCGAATATATAATATAATTATAATATATTTCCAAGTCCCCCTAACACACATATCCATCCAAACACACATATCCATACATACACACATATAACCCAAATGCATGCTTATTAATGTACGTACATATGCCCGTAACGTAAGGCGGTATACCCATTTGGAAAGCAACATTTACACATATGCCCGTAACGTAAGGCGGTACACCCAGCAAAAATTTCGAAAGCGATATTTACAACACAGCCCACATCATTTATAATTTATAAATTAAATAAAAAATATAATAAAAAAAATTTTTTATACTTTACATATATTGAAAAAAAAAAAATATCCTGATTCCAACGAACACATCAACAGTATAAGCCGTTCCAACTTTTGCATGATATTTATTTCACCAGCGCTATTTCGCACACGCCGTCGGCTCACATCCATTAAGGGGTTATATACCTTTTTCAGAATCAAAAAATCGAAAAAAAATTTTATGATTTTTTTTTGATGTACATACTTTCAACAATTTTTCTGCAAAATTTTTTTAGAGATCGGGGCACTAGAACCTAAGATACAGCCGTTCATAGCGCACGGTGTGCATGACTACCTAATGTCCATCTAAAACTTTCAACGCGATTATCTCGGAATCGCATTTTTGAGAAAAGGTCGTTGCGGTGAGCACGATATCTCGGTAACCACTATATCGATCGATTTGAAATTTTGGGGGATTGTTTGTAGATACAATAGCTAGTTCGTGAACGAAGGAATTTTATTTTCGATAAATTTTTCTATTTTTTTGGGGCGAAAAACTAAATTATTAGACCTCGAAAAATCGTTTTTTTTTTTTTAAAATAATCACTGTAACTGTAAAAATTTTTTTTTCGTAAAATCCTTCGTTCACGAACTAGGTAACACTATATACTAACGTAGTTTTTTTTTTTTTTTTTTTTTTTCGTTGAGCCGTTTTCTTGTTTTCATGCTCACCGTGAGCCACTACTTAAAAAAGGACTTCTGCGGCAAGGACTATAACTTCCACAATTCTCAAAATTTTCACTCGAAATTTTTTACGAATTAAGTTAAGGACACGTACTTTGATAAAATTTTTATTGAATTTAAATAAAACAATGGCAACATGCAAAAAAAAAATAAATAAAAACCCTGTATTTCTCTGGTGAAAAAGGTATATAACCCCTTAAACAAATAATAAATAAATAAATCCTTTTTGTGTAAGCCGTGGCGGTGCGAATCGTATTTATTTCCATATTTCTTGCGATCATTTCCGCAGCTCAGCAACAAACTGCAAATATTTTGCCAAACATTTTTTTGTCGAATTTTTTTGATATTTTGCTCACACATCAAAGCAGTGGTTCCAAAAAACTCTTTATTGGTACAACTGTTCCGTTTCCACATATTCCAAAAAAATAGACCGGAGCTGCAACGCTAAGAGCGAACACAAGCGGACCGCTTGCAATTGTCTATCACGAGGAATCGAAGCGGCCACTGCGCCTTATTAATTTTTTTGTTTGTTTTCTTTAAACAAAATCAAATTAATTCCTTAAGTTTTTTTTCCGCGTCGCATTCATTGACATTGTTGACATTCCGCTATTAGAATTTTCGATATTTTGGAGCCGCACCTGTATCGATCGGAAGTTATCGATTCCATCCTTCCGTTTCCTTTCAAATACACCCCGGTGATCCGCAACAGCGGAACCACATTCCAGTACAGGCTTTTCCGGAGTGTTAAATTTCCACAAAGCCAGCCAGGGTTGCCTAGTTAATCTGATTTCTGGAATGCCAGGAGACAAAACAAAGTTATCGGTTCCGTCTGTAAATAAAACGCGATCGCTATCCGCATCTCCTCGCGCGCGCACCTCAAGCGCAGTAGTTCCAACATCAATAACCAAGGCAAAGAGCGAAACTTCATTAGACACCCAAGAGGGCGACAAGAAGTTGTCTGTTCCTACGAGCAATCAGAAACGATTGTCGCTCACGCCTAAGGTTACGTCACAGATCCAGACCAAGTCCGTAAAGTCGCTGGCAACTCGTTCTCAGGCAAAAATGAGCAACGACATTGCAATTGCAGCCCTCGCGCGGTTCATAACGGTGTCCGACCGCATGAGCAATTTCAGAGCGACCATAGAAACTCCAAGGCAGTCAGCTCCGTCCGTCCACACCTGCAAAGTCCGTAAGGAACAAGTCCGCTCACTCTGGGAAAAGGCCGAAAAAGAATTCGAAGCGTGTCTAGACACGATTTCCAGCATTACTACTGAAGGAGCGGAGGAGATTCTGGCGACTCTGCATCGAAAATATGAATATTGCTATTCGGTGTACGAGGAGCTATCAGTTCATCTCAGCGAGCTGATGGACCAAGCCACTCCGCAGCAGTCGACAGCGAGCACCACTAATCAGTCCGCTTACATTTCGTCTGGGTGCCGGTTACCACCATGCGATACCGAAGTTTTTGAGGGAGACTATTTAAAATGGCCAACGTTCAGAGATCTCTTCACGGCAGTTTACGTGAATAATCCTAGGCTCACACCAGTTGAGAAATTATTTCATCTTAACTCCAAGACCAGTGGTGAAGCGAAAGCGCTTGTTTCAAAATCCCCGCTTACCAATGACGGCTTCGCGTCCGCCTGGGAATCGCTCCGAGAGCGGTTTGAAAACAAAAGGCTTTTGGTCAACAGCCAACTCAAACTTCTCTTTAACTTGAGTTCGGTTGGCCAAGAATCTGGTCGAGCGCTGAAGGAGCTGCAGAGCACAATACAAGGGGGTTTAGTAGCGCTAGCGCACTCCAATATTTCCACGGAGAACTGGGATTGCCTGTTGGTGTTCCTGTGCGCCAGTAAACTGCCGAAGTTGACCCTTTCCTTATGGGAACAGTCTCTATCATCCAAGTCCGATATTCCGACATGGGAAGAAATGAACACATTTCTCAGTGAAAGATATCGGACTCTAGAAGCCATCGAGGACATGAAACCGACTATTAGCGGTATAGCCTCGAAAAATCCTGTAGCTCCCAAAAAACTCAATTCCTTCGAAGCAAAAGTGAGCACAAAACCGAGGACTTGTGATTTGTGTTCAAAAGAGAATCACCCGGTCCGGATGTGCTCACGCTTCTTGCAAATGTCCGTGGATGCGCGCAGCAGCTATATTAAAAGGAAGCAGCTGTGCCTCAATTGTTTCGCGCGCGGCCATCAGCTTCGCGACTGCACGAGCACACACAGCTGTGCTACGTGCCACGCGCGACACCACACGCTGCTGCATCGGGGCGCTCCTAGCCCTGGGCCACATTCCACAGTTAACGTTTCGGCCAACACACAACCTCCTGCAGCACCTGCGACGACCAGCTCATCCGGACAGCCGCCAGCAGTGCAAAACTATTTTGCAGCTGGATCCACGGCGGTGCTACTAGGCACGGCAATGCTGGATATTTGCCATCTCGGGACAAAATATAGGGCTCGCGCCCTAATTGATTCGGGCTCCGAGGTGACTTTTATTTCCGAACGCCTATTCAGGCTCATCAAGCTTCCATTCCGTCTCATTAACGCCAAGGTCTCCGGTTTGAATCAGACCGTTTCCGCACAGTCGACCAGGCTGTGTCATTTCGCGATTAGTTCGCCCTCCAAACCCGGCCTGCAGCTAAATACAGAAGCTTACGTGCTGCCAGAATTGGCAGGCAATCTACCATCTTATCCGATTCCGAAAGAAGCGCTGACGGGTTTGCCTATCCTTCCCCTGGCAGATCCCACATTTCTTGAGAGCTCCCAGATAGATGTTCTGATCAGAGCCGACATTTTACCATCCGTTCTGCTGAGCGGCATGCGCACAAACATTTGTGGCTCTCTCCTAGGTCAAGAAACTATTTTTGGCTGGGTGCTTACCGGCCCAGTTTCAAGTACATCTAGTCAGAATCGGGTATCCGCTTTCACGACCCAGATAACCGAAACGAGTGACAGAGTCTTGGAAAAACTTCTCACTAAGTTTTGGGAGGTGGAGAACATACCCACTAAAAGGGTAAAGGACTCCGATTCCTATTGCGAAAACAATTTTCTCCAAACGACCACTAGAGACGGAAGCGGGAGATACGTAGTATCTTTACCATTTCGCGAGCCTGAAAATCTCGGGTCCCAATTGGGGCACTCGCGATCCAGTGCCCTAGCTCAGTTTCTTAGAAACGAAAACCGTTTGAAGAGAGACTTTCCATTAAAAGAGCAGTATGACTCAGTCATTCAAGAGTATTTGGATCTGGGTCACATGAGAGAAATTCCCCTGTCGTACGATTCTCCAAACTATTACCTGCCACACCACGCGGTGATCAAACCCGAGAGCACTACCACCAAACTTCGCGTGGTATTCAATGCTTCTAGCCCTTCATCCAATGGGACAAGCTTGAACGACATTCTTCATGCTGGTCCAGTCCTGCAATCTGATTTAACCATTCAGATATTGAAGTGGCGTTATTTCCAGTACGTGTTCAGCGCAGATATCACCAAGATGTACCGTCAAATCTGGGTCGACCCCAAACATACGCCGTTCCAGAGAATCTTATTCCGGAATAAAGAAGGAGAAGTAAGCGATTTCGAGTTAAAAACAGTCACCTTTGGTGTTAACTGTGCACCATTTCTGGCACTCCGCGTACTCCAACAATTGGCAGACGACGTAGAAAAGGACCTCCCTACAGCAAGCAATATTATTCGTCACTTTATGTACGTAGACGACGTTCTGGCAGGGACCACTTCCATACAAGAGGCTCGACTGGCAATCAGCGAACATCGCCACGCTTTCAGCAGCGCCAGGTTCCCATTGAGAAAGTGGACGGCCAACCAGAAGAGCATACTCGAAGACATCCCAAACGAGCATCTACTCCACGAGGACTTTCGCGATCTTCATTCCGAAAGCTTTGCCAAAACACTGGGCGTTCGGTGGAATGCGACCTCGGACGAGTTCTGTTTTGTTCCACCGCCAGTGTCGATTAAATCCACTCATACGAAGAGAGAGGTTCTTTCCCAAATTGCGAAGCTTTTTGACCCAGCCGGATGGCTGTCTCCGTTTATTGTCCGCTCAAAAATCTTTATGCAAGAAATTTGGTTGCAGGAGTTGGGCTGGGATGAAAACATCCCCACAGAAATGGATCAAAGATGGCAAGATTTTTTGCGCAGCTATTCCGAGCTTGAGCAGATCCGCATTCCAAGGTGGGTTGGTTTCCAGCCAGGAGTGAAGGTTGAGCATCACGGGTTTTGTGATGCGTCTCAGAAGGCTTATGGGGCCGCTATATACTTGCGGGTGGAAGTAGGCCACAACATTATGACACGTCTGCTTACCGCCAAAACCCGAGTCGCCCCTGTTAAAACGGTGTCCCTTCCACGGCTCGAGCTGTGTGGGGCATTGCTGTTGTCAGAGATGATTGCAGCTATCCTTCCGAATATGCCAATTTCCAATTCCGACATTTTCTGCTGGACCGATTCCACCATCGTCCTCGCATGGTTGAGCAAGCCGGCATGCCACTGGACCACGTTTGTCGCCAACCGAGTGACAAAAATTACTCAGGTGACGAGCGCTGAGCATTGGGCGCATGTGCGATCTGAGCACAATTCCGCGGACCTGGCCAGTCGAGGCGTTTCGCTACGGGAGCTGGTTCATAGCCAACTCTGGTGGGAAGGACCGGACTGGTTGCAACAGCCGAAGGACATGTGGCCAACACGGGAGCTAGGACCTCCAGTCACAGACATAGAGCAGCGTGCTGTGAAGGTCAATTTCGCCAAGGCCGAAGATTTTTTGGAACGTTTCTCCGCGTTGGACAAGGCTCTGCGGGTCCTTGCGTACGTAATACGGTTCACTCAACGCTGCCGCAAGATGCCGAGGGACGCTGCTGAGCGACCCACCAAGGAAGAGGTCCAAGAAGCTGAAAGAGTCCTTATTCGAAATGCTCAGCGGGGAGAATATACCCAAAGTCCTAAACGATAAGCGTCCGATTCTAGTTTCCAGCCCGATAGCCAACCTGTTTCCATTTCTAGACCAACAAGGCCTGTTAAGGGCATGTGGGCGCATTACGGCCTCAACGGCCCTCCAGTACGACGAGCGGCATCCTATTATACTGCCATACAACTGTCGGTTAGCTCGTCTTCTCGTCCTTTTTTCACACCAGATTTCCCTGCATGGCGGCAACCAACTAGTGGTACGCCTCATCCGATCGAAGTATTGGATTCCTAAAATCAAAAAACTGGTAAAAGCTGTGCTGAATTCCTGTAAAGTGTGTACTATTTACAGGAAGAGAGTCCAGACGCAATTGATGGGCGATCTCCCGACCGATCGAGTTTCCTTTTCCAGGCCATTCACATATACGGGCATGGATTATGCAGGCCCGTTTGAGATTAAAAACTATACTGGCAGAGCATGCCTTATTACCAAGGGATATGTTTGCGTGTTTGTGTGTTTTTCCACGAAGGCTATCCATTTAGAGCCTACGTCCGACCTGACAACGGAGAAGTTCCTCGCGGCATTTGCCCGATTCGTAGCAAGAAGAGGTTGTCCTCAGCGAGTCCATTCGGATAATGGCAAAACCTTTGTGGGGGCAGCGACTCTACTTTCTAGAGATTTCATGCAGACGATCAAGGAGTCTGTAGCTGGAACCTATAGCCATCAGGGACTTGTGTGGCGGTTCATTCCACCAGGGGCTCCACATATGGGAGGATTGTGGGAGGCTGGAGTAAAGAGCTTCAAGGCACTCTTTTACAAGTCGACGTCAAGTCGGAAGTACACGTTTGAAGAGTTCGCCACGCTTCTCGCCAAAGTTGAAGCCTGCCTTAATTCCAGGCCGCTGTCTCCCATGTCCGAAAATCCATCTGAGTTATTGGCATTGACGCCAGGCCACTTTCTGATTGGGGGACCTTTGCTTTCAACAGCTGAGCCTGAGATTAAGGGCGATGCTCAGTCGATTATAAATCGCTGGCAGCACTTAAAGGCCTTGCATCAGCAGTTCAGTGCGCGATGGAAGGAGGAGTACTTAAAGGAACTTCACAAGCGCAATAAGTGGCAGACTCCTTCCAGAGATATCCAAGTCGATGACATGGTGGTCGTCAAAGAAGACAACATGCCACCAAACGAATGGCGGCTCGGCAGAGTTGTATCTGTTCTTCCAGGAGCCGATAGTAGAGTTCGCGTAGTTGAGATCCGTACTGCTCGAGGGACTATAACACGTCCCATCCACAAACTAGTACTTCTTCCTATGGAGGACAAGGCAACCTCCGCCTTTCCAAAATAATGCATTCTGTCCTCCTTCTAGCACTTCTTTCTATGGAGGCCAAGGCAACCTCCGCTTTTCCAAACTAGTGCCTTCTGTCCTTATGCTTAAAAATTCGTCCACAACTGATACTAAGTTCGCTTATAATTATTTTTATTATTAGAGCATCAATACCATGGCTCCACGTCCTCGCAGCGCCCAAACTTTGGACGACAGACGTTCACGAGGTACTCGATCCTACCGCTGCCGAGTCTGTCGGGGAATCCATCCGCTACGGAAGTGCAGCCGTTTCCTCAGGCTCAGCACGGAGAAGCGGCTCCGCGCCGTTCTCATAAATAAATATTGTGCGAATTGCCTGGCGCACCAGCACTCCGGAGGGCAATGTCGCAGTGGCGACGCATGCAAAAAATGCGGGAAGGATCACCACACGCTGTTCCACCTGCACGAGATGTCCAGGAGTCCTCGACGAACGCCCATCCAGCCACGCCGCCAGTCGCCTTCCCCTCAACGCCGTCCATCGCCCTTCGAGCAACATCGCGCATCGACCGTTCGCCTGTCGAGATCAGTCTCCCGGTCTCCGTCACCACCAGCAAGGCAGGCACTGGTACGACGACCAGCTCCAGCGGCAACTCCATCCGTAGCGGCTCTAGCGCAGCATCAGAGCCTCCACATTCTCCCGACGGCCATCGTGTTGCTGGAATCTGGGACCACCACCTTCGAGACGGCCGCATTGATCGACCCGTGCACTCCCGTCAGCACCATCGACAGCTCCCTGGCAACTGCCTTCAAGCTCCCCACGACGACAGTGAGGGGTGAGGAAGTCTGCTCGACGACGATCCGGTCGAGAACGGGCGATTTCCAGATCGAGGTGCTCCTGAAGATCAGCCCGAGGCTACGCATCCGTACCCCGATCCGCGCGCTGACTGAAGATATGCGAGCCCAGTTCAACGATATCCGTCTTGCCGATGAGCAATTCCATCGCCCAGCAACAGTCTCGCTGGTGTTGGGCTCGGACGTATACCCCGATGTCATCCGGCCCGGGTTCCTAAATATACGAGATGGGCTGCCCGTCGCACAGAGCACGGTATTTGGATGGGTCGTGTCTGGAGCATGCAGATACGCCTAATTCGTTGCTTCGCTCGACCTCGCAAGGGGGGGAGAATGTTCGCGCCAGAGCGGCGCTTTCCAGTCCCTTTTTAACCGCCCCTGGAGTCTTAACAGTCGTGAGAGCAGTTCTTCCAGATCGCTTGCATCTCGCTCTCTGGCACTGTTAAGGGTCTCCAATCCGCTCTCCAAGCGGCTCTAAAAGTTTCCACCCCGTAGCTTAAGTTTTAGTTCTAATTTCCAAGTGTCACCGTGAAGTTGAATAAAGAGTGAAGTTTTGTTTTATAACGTGAAGTAAATTCGACCCGCGTTCTTCATTTTTGTGGTAATTTTGGACTTATTCTCGAGAGCTGAAGGAAGACCCGCCGCCCCAATCAACAACCATCTAAAGTCTGAAATGTTAAGGCTTCAAGTCGATAAATGAACGGCCTGAGAACCTCAACTTCCAGTTTATCATTATCTGACTAATACGATCCGGTCTTATATTTGTATTTATTTGCGAAAACCTATATTCTGGAACATTTCCTAGTGAAGAACCAATTCCTGGGGAAATGTGTTCTGCTACTAGCCTACTCTCTCTTACAGGAGGATTTCTTGCCGCAGAAAAGTTTTCCGCTGTCCGCAAATTTCCCAATTCCGGAATCAAATCCTCGCTTTCTGCTCGCCTGCTATCAGTCGCTTGGGTTTGTTTTTGGTTCTCCAAAAGAGCTATCATTCGTTAGAACCCAGCGGTAATAGTTTCCGTTAACGCTTCGGTTTGTTTATTGGAATCACGTAGTGATCTTCTAGTTCCCTATTCAAATTTAGTTGAGACCTACCAAGCGCACTTTGTGGCCCACTCGCGCATTCGCTTCCACAAAGGTTACTTAAATCTGACTTACACACCAGGCAAATTTTATGATTTCGAACCTTTTTGTTAAAACAGGCTCGATGAAAAGAATGGCCACAGCTAGCAGATAGTAACTGAGCTGCGTATTCAATTTCCTTCAAACAAATAAAGCAGTCAACGTACTCGCGTAACATTTCCTAATAAACCAAATTTCTATATTATAATTAGGCAAAAATTAACTTTTTTTTCTAAAGTAGATATAAACTTTTTCAAAATTAAACAAAATCTCTGGGAATCATAAAAATCTTCGTGTCTAGTAATTATAAATCTTTTAGCAATGTATATTAGAAGTAAACAACATAAAAAGGAAGGTTAAGCTATTGCAGACATTTTGTCGCTCACACCTAGAGAGAATCCAAGAATTTTCAAGCAAAAAAAAATAAGAGAAAACAATAAATATAAAAAGTCTGCTCTTTCATTCTGGCACTACTAAGTTATCACTTCTTTGAATGCAATAACTAAACAACAATTATAGTTTTACAAAAACGCTACTGCCACTGATATTTATCTAGATCCAAGTCTACATTGTAGCAGGATGGCTACGTAGAGTATATGTATGTATGTATGTGTAAATGGTTATATTATTTGTAAGTGCGCATTATTGTGAAATAGCTTTAAGTATAACGGGAAAGATCGTGTATATTAATAAGAAACAGCATATGCAGCTGCATGTTCTCTGACTCTTGCTCTCATTCTCTTGCGCTCTTGCCTCTCGCTAAAACGAGGGTTGATTGGGATCGCAAGAGTGGAGAGGAGTCAGTCGAACACCAGGAGTTAAGCCATCGAGAACTTAAAAAGTAAAATAAAGAATATTAAAAGTGAACTTGACTGTGTTGGTGTTTTACTGGGATATACATTCACATCCCTACAAAATCAGAAGTGGGCCGATCACGAGCTAATATTAAAGAGAAAAACATTAAATAAAATAAAAAAATGAATTTTGACAATACATCAATTGCACAACTAAAAAAGTGGTTAAGTGTATTAGACTTACCAACAACGGGTTCAAAGCGAGAACTTATTTTGCGTTTAAATAATTCGCAAAAAGAAATGCAAAAGAAATTTGAAAATTTGAAAAATGGAGAAGATGGAAACGAAGATAATGAGGATGATGATGAAATCGAAAATACAGAGGACAGTTACGAAGAAGCTGACGAAGATGGAGATGGTGCAAATTTCAAGGAAAAAGACGGAGAAGAAGACGAAGATGGCGATAACAACGGCAGAAAAGGCGGAGAAGAAGACGAAGACGGCGATATTAACGATGAAAAAGGCGGCAAAATTTACGAAGACGGCGACAACGGAGAACTTGGAGAAGAGAAGGAGATAAAGAATTCCAGTCAGATTTTAGACATTTCGTTGCGAATGGCAACAGAAGTTTTAAATGAATTTTCGGGAGAAACCTGTGCTCGAAAATGGATTACGCAGATGTTTAATATTGGAAGTATTTATGGTGTTAGTGGACAATACATAAAAATGCTTATGATTAGCAAAATTAAAGGCAAAGCTAAGTTATGGTTGCATGCAAATCCTGGACGCATACTATTACCGATGGAGGACCTGATTGATGACCTGATCGGAATGTTTGGCGAGAAAGCATCCAAGTTAGAAACAAGGCGCAAATTTGAAGAACGGAAGTGGAGTGCTGGAGAAAGTTTTGGAAGTTATGTTGATGACAAGGTGATGCTGGCTCAGGGCATAAATATAGACGCTGAAGAACTACTGAGCGTAGTCATCGAGGGCATTCCCAACATAGGGCTGCGTATTCAGGCACAACTTCAATGCTTTGACGATGTTAAGCAGTTGAAACGTGCATTTGCTGATGTTGGATTACCCAAACCGTACGGAGCTAAGAAGGAGACGACTTCGTTGCAGAGCAAGGACGACAATATTATGCGCTGCTTTAACTGCAACGCTAGAGGACACTGGGCGAAGGACTGCAGGAAACCAAAGCGGGAGAAAGGATCGTGCTACGCATGCGGTGAGATGGGGCACTTTGTGGCGCAGTGCCTGAAGAACAAAACTAAAGGTGTGGGCGACAACAATTATGTAAGAAATTTTGAAATTAATTTTATGAATAGTTCTAATAGTAAATTGAGTACAGAATGCCTCATAGATACAGGAAGCCCAATTTCGTTTATCAAAATTTCAAAAGTACCGAAAGATGTTTGCAAGTTACCAGTTTTAAGTTTATATCATGGATTAAACAAAAGTTATTTAGAAACGTATGGAAAAATATTATGTTATGTCTTAAAGAATTTAAATAAAATACATTTTCATTTGGTTATTGTGGCAAACAAATCTATGAGTCATGATGTAATCCTAGGTAGAGATTTTATGGAAGCATGCGATTTAAAATTGAATCTGGACACTTTGAAAATGGTTACGTTGGAGAAAGTTGAAAAGCAGATAGTTAGTAATGTTAGAAATAAAAGTCAGATAGTTAGTGATGTTAGTAGTAAAAATCAGATAGTTAGAAATAATTTAAGTAAAATTGGAGAAGAAAATTATTTAGTTAGTGATGTTAGAAGAATTACGAATGGGGAAAACGTTAGTAATCAAAATTACACTATGGACGAGATTAGGTTAGAAAATACTAAGGAATTGGAAATAAATATAGTGGAAAAGGAATTATTTAATATTAATATAGAAGATAAATCTGTTGAATATGAAATTGGAAATCAAGTGGACTATAATGTTAGGCGAACATTTATCAAAATCGTAGAACGTTGTTATGTAAGTAAAGAAAGGCCAAAGGAACCAGAGATTAGATGTGAAATAAAACTGAGGTTAGAAGATTCGAAACCCTTTAGTTGTTCGCCCAGACGATTAGCTTACACAGAAAAAGAAAAATTGCAGATCATATTAGATGAATATTTAGAGAAAGGAATTATTAGACCCAGTGAATCGGAGTATGCATCTCCAATAGTGTTAGTGAAAAAGAAATCAGGAGATCTAAGGTTATGTGTGGATTATAGGAAGCTTAATAAGACAATGATTAAAGATAATTATCCTCTACCGTTAATAGATGATTTATTAGATAAATTAGTAAATAAAAAAATATTTTCAAAATTAGATCTTAAGCATGGATACTTTCATGTGTGTGTTGAAAAGGAATCAATTAAATACACCTCATTTATGACGCCGATAGGACAGTTTGAGTTTATGCGGATGCCAATGGGGCTTAAAAATGCCCCGGCGGTTTTTCAAAGGTTTATCAATAAAATTTTTGCAGATATGATAAGGGAAGACAAGGTAGTTATTTATATGGACGACATTATGATTGCGAGTAAAGAAATACAGGAACATTTGGATGTACTACAGGAGGTTTTTGACAGATTAGCAAGGAACAAACTAGAGTTAAGAATGGATAAGTGTGAATTTTTGCAAGAAAGTGTAGAATATTTAGGCTTTGTAGTAACGGGCAAAGGAATAAAAGCTAATGACAAGGGAATAGATGCTATTAGAGATTTTCCAGTTCCTGTTAAGGTACATGGAGTTAGAAGTTTTCTCGGATTGTGTTCGTATTTTAGAAGATTTATTAAGGACTTTTCGACGATCGCCAAACCTTTGTATGAATTATTAAAGAAAGACAAAGAATTTAGTTTTGAAGACAAGGAGTTACAATGTTTTGAGATTCTTAAGAAAAAGTTAGTCGAAGCACCAGTGTTAGGTTTGTATTATTATAAGGATGATATAGAGTTGCATACAGATGCAAGTGCACAAGGATTTGGGGCAGTATTATTACAAAGGAAAGAAGATAAAAAGCTGCACCCTATATTTTATTTTTCGAAAGCTACAACAAAGGACGAGGCGAAATATCATAGTTTTGAGTTGGAAACGTTAGCCATAATATACGCGCTAAGAAGATTTAGAATTTACGTACAAGGCAAACGTTTTAAAATTGTTACGGATTGTAATTCATTGACATTAACGTTAAATAGAATAGAATTAAACCCCCGTATTGCCAGGTGGGCATTAGAACTGCTTGAATACGATTTTGAATTAGTACATAAAGCAGGTAAGCATATGCAGCATGTAGATGCGTTAAGTAGGAACACAAATATTCTAATAGTAGAAACAAATAGTTTCGAAGACAATTTAGTTATATGTCAAGCAAAAGATGAGAAATTAAAAGAAGTTAGAAAAAGATTAGAAAAAGCTGAAGACAAGATGTTCGAGATGAGAAATGGGGTAGTTTATAGGAAAGCAAATGATGGAAGATTACTGTTTTGTGTGCCACGAGAGATGGAAGAAAAAGTTTTGTACAAATACCATAATGAATTAGGTCACTTAGGAAGAGATAAAGTAATGGATGCAATTGTTAGAACGTATTGGTTTTCGAATATGAAAGAAAAAGTTGTTAGGCATATAGATAATTGTTTGAGATGTGTAGCGTTTTCACCAAAGTCCGGGAAAGGAGAAGGATTTCTTCACAGCATTCCAAAAGGAAATGTACCATTTGAAATAATACACATTGATCATTACGGTCCTGTGGACTCTGGAAGGTTAAAGAAACATCTTTTTGTAGTTATAGACGGATTTACTAAATATGTTAGGTTATATCCAACAAAGACGACGAATACGAAAGAAGTTATTGTAGCGTTAAAGGATTATTTTAGATCATACAGCAGGCCAGTATGTATTGTGTCGGATAGGGGAAGTTGTTTTACATCAGAGGATTTTACAAAGTTTTTAGAAGAGTACAATATTAAACATGTAAAAATTGCGACTGGTTCCCCTCAAGCAAATGGACAGGTGGAAAGAGTTAATAGAATATTAGGACCAATGATAGCAAAATTAGCGGATAATGAAAAGGGACTACACTGGGATACAGTTATCGAAGACGTTGAATTTTCGTTGAATAACACAAAACAAAGAAGTATTGCACAAATTCCAAGTAGAATGTTGTTTGGTATTGAACAGAAGGGAAAGATTATCGACGAATTAAGACAGAAGTTAGAAGAGTTAGATACAGTTAGAGATGTTATTGAAGTTAGGCAACTAGACGATATTAGGAAAAAGGGATCAGAAGCGCAAAGGAAAGTACAAAATGACAACGAAAGAAGATATAATGAAAAGAAAAATATGAGTTCAGAGTACAAAGTTGGGGATTATATTATGGTCAAGAACTTTGATTGTTCAGTTGGAGTAGCAAGAAAATTAATACCAAAGCACAAAGGTCCATATGTTATAGATAAAGTCTTAAGAAATGATAGATATTTAATTAAGGATGTCGAAGGATTTCAATTATCACGAAAGCCATATCAAGGTGTCTGGAGTAGTCAAAATATTAAACATTGGATAGGAATGCGATAATGTAACAAATTTATTGTAATTAATTGTAAAATAACATAAGATCAGGGGATCTTAAAGGGTCAGGACGGCCGAATTGTAGCAGGATGGCTACGTAGAGTATATGTATGTATGTATGTGTAAATGGTTATATTATTTGTAAGTGCGCATTATTGTGAAATAGCTTTAAGTATAACGGGAAAGATCGTGTATATTAATAAGAAACAGCATATGCAGCTGCATGTTCTCTGACTCTTGCTCTCATTCTCTTGCGCTCTTGCCTCTCGCTAAAACGAGGGTTGATTGGGATCGCAAGAGTGGAGAGGAGTCAGTCGAACACCAGGAGTTGAGCCATCGAGAACTTAAAAAGTAAAATAAAGAATATTAAAAGTGAACTTGACTGTGTTGGTGTTTTACTGGGATATACATTCACATCCCTACAACATTTACTGGCAAGAAATCAGTTTGCATCAAACTGAGCGTTTTGGCAAAACCTAAGCACCTTTAGAGAATATTGAAACAACGGTAGACACTTATCATCAAAGCAAATCTAATTCCAGGTATTCAAAAAGCCTATTCAATGTGTTGGTTGTGCTGCGTGGCAGGTTATAGAAATCTTCCATAATATCCACATCCAATCGCAGGTACCAACTTGATTTAGCTGCTTTCTTGGTTATGACGCATCAAAGTCTTTAAGGTCTGGAACGTTCCTAAATTTATGGTTCGCTAATCCAGATCCTTATTAAACTGAGGTCGAGGTGCAAATAGTTTAGAATAGAAAAAGTAATGAATATTGAACCTTATCACCATTCGCGAATACTGTAGCTATGGTAGATCCTTATCATCAAAGAAAAGCTAATCCAGCTACTTATTAGCTGAGGTCAAGGATCAAACCAAACTTTAAGGTTAGAGAAAGAAAAGAAAATGGAAAACTCTGACCATGCTTATAGTCTTCAATTTGAAAAACTGTTTGGATATAGTTGACTATTTTATTACATGACGAGGCTGCCAAGGTCAGACCTCATACTGTTGCCGTCAAAGTCAGGCCCACAGCTTGGATTATTTCTGTAGACTGCCAATTCAGGCTCCACATCAATATTTCTGTAGACTGACAAGTCGGGCCCCACGTTGGGCGCCATAATTTTTTCTGTAGCATGTAACTGTCAGTTGGAGAATGAGCTGATGGTAATAAAAAAAAAAACGTATAAGCGGAGCACGCGGTATCCTCGGCTTTTATTTTATTTAGTCAGATCGGCTTGGGGTGGGTTAACAAAAAAAAGAAACCGCAACGTTTATCGCTCAAATGCTAGGCAAAAATAACTAAATTCGCGTACTTTATTTTTTTTTGAAAAGGGGATAGCAACCGAAGAAGGCTTAAGAAGGGAAAGAATATGAAAATAAAAAGGAAGGAACACACTTGCCAAAAAAATTACATCATCCCTTTCACTACGCAAAAGATGCGAAGTGCTCACCCTACCTTGATCTTGTAGGTCCTACTTTTCATCGACAAGATCCCTCAGAATGATCACAAATTACCTCGACCCTCGGACAACCATGATCCACAGTTAGGAGATACTTAGCTAAAATTCATTTTTCTAATTTTTATTATTTATACACAAGGGAAGAAAAACTAGTCATTTCATATAACATGAGATTTTGTTGTTGTTATTATTATTCCTCTTCTTTAGAAAGGGGAAAGAAAAACCAATGCTTAAGTAATTTATTCACAAAAAAATTAAACTAATTCAGGCAAAAAATAAAAAATAAAAAAAATAATTTCATATTAATCCTGTTTTATTAATTAATTTTTTTTTTTTTTTTTAATGA